CGCGACATCGCCACTAATAAAGCAAGCCCTCAAGAAAAGGAAGTATCTCAATTCCGACAAATTTTCAAATCTGGAAAATCGCCCTATTAATATCCTCTGGTTCATTATTCGAGACACGATTTGGATTGCGGGGGCAAATAATTAGCCGGCGGTCGCATAATTCCTCGAGTAGTTTACCCGATAGTATTACCCAGCGAGCCGGATCCCATAATTAGAGGTCAAATAATTTCACACTTCCGGTTGCTCGGGCAGATGGATTAAATCCCGGCGGCGATGGTCCCTCTAGAGAAGTAGGTCCGATGAATTTTCGCGGTATTAATTTCCAAGGCACATTGTCGAGCCCCCCGCCCCCCGCCCCACCCCCGCCCGACAAATATTCCAATCACCTTAAACCGCGCAATTTTCATCGGAGCAATCGAACATCCCCCGGGAGCCGCAGCCTCCGCTGATAAGAGAGCATCCCCTAACAAATGCGCGCCCCCATTAAGGCGCGGCCCCGTCAGCCTGGCTAAATGATTTCTTTCCGAATTTAATTAAAAGCGCGACTTCGAGAAAGAAATCTAACGACCCCTTCCTCGTGACAATGGCCACTCTGGATAGAGAGGAGAGGGGTAGCCTCCTCTCTGCGCGCCGTTAACGAGACTCGTCGTTAGCAATGCTAATGCATCTTTGGGCCGAGTACTATGGCGGCCGCGTAATGCACTCGGCGTTGCAGCCCTTGTGTCGATGCACTTTGCGAGCGGTATTAAGGGTTGCGAGGGAGGGTGCAAGTGGGATTCCCTGCGTGTGATCGGCGGTTTCGCGTCCAGGGGTTGGGAATAGCGAATTAAGTATCGGGGAAGGGTGGAAGCGCCAGAGGGTGGATATGTTGAGGTTTGGGGGAGGTCAGTTTGGATGGTTTGAGGCTGGGGGTGGATAACTGGAGCGCGGGGAAGGTGATCGCGATTAGGCGTGAGGCAGGTCAGTTGGTTTGGGGTTAAGGCAGGTCGTGCTCTCTGAGACCGATCTGCAGGTTCCTAGGCTCTCACAGGTCGGTCCCGATGGGCCTGGTGGTTGGTCAGTTGTGGTCCGGTCGCCATCGGGACCTGTCCTCGTGACAGAGGTAGCCTGGCATTTTCCACCAGAGGTAAAAATTCGATGACGCTCGAGCTCACTTTTTTGGAAGGCCTCGTCTATCTCGACTCTGTACATCCGTGTCTACATACGCTCGCACCTGCGTGTATATAGGCACGTATCCACACGTTTACACGCCCACACCCTCCACCTCCCCCAATGGCTCGGCCCCGTTTTATCCCGTTTTATTCGCGGACGCGCGAGCAAATGAATTTTGCTTCGGCGCGCAGGTGAATCAGAGCGTCAGGTGACATTATTCGGGAGCGCCGACGCCGGGAATTAAAACGATCTATCGGATGATTCCGCGGTGACGAACGGCATGCGACGAACGAACGTCGGCGACGTTGACGGGTTATTTCGCGGCGATATCCCTCGCCTAGAAATTCGCCGTTTATCGACGTACCGCTTATCGCGAACACGACAACCGAGCCGCGTGATTCTTTTTTTTTTCAATTTCCTCGATTTCCGCAATTCCCTCAATTTTTTGTCAATTTCGTTATCACGTGATTATGAGAGCGTCACCTAAGGGGTCACTCGATCAAGAGACATTTTCCGAACCGGATGCGCCAAAACGTTTCCAACTTTACAACGCGAATATGAAGGCTATGACGAAGATTTCTCTCCCGTGACATTTCATTTTCCACAAAGTATTGGAAAACTATCCGTGAAGAAATTTTCGAAAAATTCTAACTGCACTCGTGGCCTCGATATTTACGTTGAAATGTTTGGGAACTATTCGGTACACCCGGAGGGAAGTTTCACGAACGACATATCCCTTTGACGTTTTTTATCGCGTAACGATAAAATTCAATAACCCCCTATCTAGGGTGAAATCCCCATTTTAATAAGTAAATCTCAAAATACACACGCAGTCCTCCCCCATCGGGTTTGTCATCCATTATCAGGAATTATTCTCCTGGAGCCGATACCAGTTGCGATTCGCGCAATCACGACCTCCCCCTGTATTTTTCCCCGGACGTCAACCGACACGTCCAGGAATACATTATCCAATTGCGTATCAGATCTCGCGGTATCAGAGGCTGGCGGGGGCGTTTCGGAAAATTCATGCAGGAATTTGTCGGCGGTTCATTTTTGACGCGGGTAATCGATCGGGTGCGTGTCGCGAGTTCGTGTACCGCGTTTAATTATCATCGATTAGGGATTACAACCGCGGGATGGGAGGCCGGGTCGTGTAACGCTCCGGGCGATTAAAAATGCCCTCATGACGCGGAATTATGTTTCCATGACGATCGGCTTGGTATCCGGGGATTTTTCGTTGCGTGCCCGGTGACACGCATTCGGGGGATCCTGCGGGATGGCCGGAAGGATACTCGGGAATTCAATCAACCGGCGTTATGTTCTCGTTGGGTATGCAGGACGCGCGAAGTAACGCGGGAAGAGCTTCCAATCCTAACCTCGAAATCCCGGACGGGGGTGTAACCCTCTCCATCCCTCCAGGTCGGCCTAATCTCCGGCTTGTTGTTTCAGGACGAGAAGTCGATTCGCGAGTTAGCCTCGCTCACCGTGGCTTTAGCCACCTCCGTGAATTTAATCCTCACCGTGGACCGATCGCGAGATATCGAAAGGATTTCCTCGAAGAGTACCTCGAAGGGTAACTTGAAGGGTACCTCGAAAGAAGCTTCAGCCTCTCGGGAAAATCCCCGGGAAAATCGGCTCGCGGTGTAACAGATTGCTCCAATTTCAGATTCCGCCCGGGTTTTCAGTTTCTTCTCCGCCCCCTCCCCCCTCTTTTCTTCTCTTTTTTAAAGAGCGGTCTATTAAAGTTTATTATAATTGGCCCGATATTATCGGCTTAAAAGGGGAAGGAAGAGCCGCAGCTTCCGCTCCATTTTGCGGGCTGGCAAGATGGCTGCTGCCCGCTATCAGCAGCGAGCTCCAATCGGCCGTTTCATCTAAATCGATTCCTTCGTCGACCCGATTCCTCGTTTCCGCGTGCCCGGCTCCATACGTGGAAGTCCGAGAACAACGGAGAAATAGAAATTGATGAGGGGGAAGGGAAACTGGTCCCCCGGGCGTTCCATCCGGAAACCGGGAAACATGATTCTCGCGACTTCCTTGCACCTCCAGCGAGCTCTGCAATTTTTTTAAGCCCCCGTTCCACTCTCGCGGGGGGTAGGAAAAAATGTCCCACTATTCAGAGGAACTGCCGTACAGCTGACAAAATTCCGCCCCACGCAAGCTGGTCCAGAAATCGACTGGATTCACCCCTTTTCTGACCAGTGGCCGGCCATACGCGAAAAAGGACTTTTCCACAAGTCTTCGGGTCTTATCAATCAAAATGAACTCCTTATCGCCGAAATCCCATCGCATCGGACCGCACGATATCCCCGTGAGTGAGTTCACGGGTGGAATTTTAATCGAGGGGGCTGTAATTAACGGGCAATTTTTTTCCCGCGGAGAATTTGCCGTCATAATCAAAAACGAAGCCTCGCGGAGTCGCCGGACCTGGTCAACTAACATTCCTTATGGCTGGAATTTGACCATATCGGACCGAATAATATCTCCAGGGGTGGGTCCACATATGAAGCTCGGCGAATCGCGGGAAAACGGAGTCGCAGGAGGGGTGGGACCAGGGGGAAACTTTATTCGCAGGGAATTCCGCGAGCGCCATACACGATTCGGCGGAAGGCTAGGTACATTGTTAACAGCATTGCTGCCTAATTAACCGCAAACGCTTTCAGTGGGCTTCGCCGGTCTATTGTTTACATGCGGGTGTATATTCCTGGTGCATGATAGTAGATGCAACCCCCGGCCCGTCTAAAGCCCGCTGAAATATTCCCACGAATGCGGCCCCGGAGGTCGCCGGCGTTTCCGGGCGAAACTCGCCCCCTCTCTTTCTCTGTCCCATCTGAAATTACGATCTCGCCGATTCGACCCTCCTTGTGCGGCCGAATGAGAGACTTCCGAGAGGGAGAAACAGAAGTGCATCCTCTTTCCCACCTTTTCCACCATTCCGACCTTTCCCACTATCCACACCCCCGTAATTGACCCTTTGAAACTGCACCGCGGCGAAAGTGCATCGCGCCGAGAGCGAAGGGGTTGAAGTCAAGCGGTATCAGAAAATCGCGATTAATAATTGAGTATTATCTATTTCGCGAATTTTTGCGATGGGTGCAATTTATTCTCGTCGAATTCAATTTCGACCGGACATGGGAAATAAGGAACCACCTCGCGGGGTGGATTTACGACCCCCCCGGGATTCTGATTTCCTTACGCGCCTTATAAATGGGACATCCCCTAGAAGGGGGATGAAACACGAGTAAACCTCATTTCTCCTCCCGAACGCGACAATTGACCCGCCGGAAATAGTTCCCCCCCGCGAAGCCAGAATATGAAACGAGGGAAAAGAGATTGCTGCAGGAATCAGGGGCGATATATTTGCGCCCCCCTCCCGCGCCCCCTGATTCGATATGCTCAGTCGGGATTGTTTCAACATTCCGTGATGTTTTACCCACTAGTAGTAATTACGTTTCCATCGGCGCTCGGATATCGCTCGGACGTGTTCCTTTTTTAATCCGGTAAACTCCAGCATTTTCGGATATTTGCTTCTCGATGATTGTCGGCGCCCGTGTAAACCAGCCCGGTAAAAGGTGTCGATAGTTTGACGGTATTACGGGATTTAAATTGTTTTTCGTTGTTTTTTTCCGTTGTTTTTCCCATTTTTCCCAAGTTTCCTTCCCTCGTCGATTATTCCGGGCAGTGTTGATTTTTCCGCAGAACCGTAATTTTCGGGTATTATTTTAAATAGATGGGCGTTCGGTCCAGATTCATCTGGGGGTCTCTTCGTGGTGTTGTTTTTTTATTTAATTTGATTGATATTTACTTGTCGCTGTATCAAGTATTTACATTTTTTCTTTTTCTTTCAGGCTCAAGCAGGACAAGGGTGGAGGCGCCTGGTGCCCGAAGGAGGCGATCACGCAGGAGGGCAAGGAGTTTCTCGAGGTGTACCTCAGGACTCCCAGGGTCCTGACGTCGGCTCGAACCCAGGGCAGGTTCGGGAACGGCTACGGGGTGGAATACACCGAGAAGTACTTCGTCGAGTATTGGAGGCCCGGCTTCAACAAGTGGGTGCGGTGGAGGAATCGCAGGGGCAAGGACGTGAGTGCACATCGTATCGTCTGCACCCCTCTTCAGGGTCCCGACCCCTGAAATCGGCGGAGACAGCGCGGCCCTTGTGGAAACGCAGAGACCGCGGATTAATCGGAGGTCGCGGGTCGACGAGGCTGTTAACCCTTTCGTGACAGCTCAAAAATTTACTTGTTGTCCCAGTGCCAACATGCACTCCAAAAATTTCCTTGCAGCACCCCGAAAAAGGAAAACCCACTGAACCAAAGAGATACTTTCTTAATTTAAAGAATAATTCATATTGAATTAACAAAATATTCCATTGGGGAAAAGAATTGAAAATACTAGGTTACGTACAGATTTATGATATGACGACGTTGGGTAAAATGGCCCATTTCCCGTTTAAGATTCAAAAGGTTGCAGGTACATATGCCACGTATTAGAATATCCCATAGCGAAAGGGTTAAATCCAGCCCCCCTCGGCGCGTTCTTTACTAAAGAGCTCCCACGGCTCACTTGGAGGGGTATCAATTATTTATCATTTTCTTTTCACCCCGAAATGCGTGTTTACCCTTTCGCAAGGGCCAGGATCTCGCGGGGAGCTATCAGCGAGCCGCTGCGAGCCCTTCAAATCGATCCTCTCGAGCGAGGCTCCTCAGCCTCCTCTTCGGCGCCTTTTTGCTCCTCGCCGAGACACGTCGCTTCTTGCTACCTCGATCCAACAACGGCTACATCACCGTCCCTTTGCTTGATCGATCGCCCGTGTTGCGGGTCCATTAGCGAGGCACTAGATGGAAATTGGGACGGGCTATCTGCACCGGGGCACCCTGATATCGGGATATCAGCTGCGTCTTAGGGGTCCGCTCGTGGCCCCGTGAACGTATCCCGCTCGCGGAGATTCTCTCCTGGTCAAAAAAAAAATCCCAACACAGCCTGCCATGCTACATATATCGTGGTTTAAGGTAAAAAAAAATATATATAAGAAGAGAAGAAATAAATCCGAAGCCACCCTTGCGGAGGAATACCAGCTTCCGACTGATCCCCCGAGTCGTTCCCGAGGAAGCCCTTCGAATCGGGTCACTCGGGAAGTTCCTCCCCTCCTTGTGCCTCCTTTTTCTATTTCCTCTTTTTACCTTTTTCTAAGGGACGTTAGTTACTCTTTCACCCCCAAGTTGGACCGCGAATGCATCAGTGTCTCCCTAATTGAATGATCGCCGCCGGTTGGCTTCCGGAAGTTCCCCAACTTCCGGAGTCAGTTTCCGGGCGAATCGGGTGTCAGTCTGCTGCCGAGAGTGCGATAAGTGGATATTCCCCCGACAGGGGAGGTGCATGACTCCGGAAGTGCAACAAGGACTCGGATGCACATCCGCGAGTGCACCGTCGAGATTTGCGATCATTCGCCGCATTTCCCTTTCCCGCCCCCTGCGGACCCCGTCCACGATGCACCGTGCAGAAAGGGCATCTCTGTTCCGATTTTTCTCCCCTCTCGCTCTTTCACCCCGATTTCGCCTCTGGTGCCAATAGCCCATATAATGGAGGCTTTTTCCACCCCTGAAGGGGGGGCGAAAAAAAAATCCAGCCGCGTAACCAATATATCGTATGCACCGGGCACGCACTTTGCGCGACCGAGCGCACCCTCGGAAAAATTGGGACGAAAAATGATGCCACTCTCGGGATATATATATACACTTTTTTTTTCAGCTATTATATGTAGGCATGTTGCCATGTATACCCATAGTATATTATATATGTACATTTATGTATGTAAAGGGGTTGCGCCCGCCGGAATGCACCCGAGCTCTCGCTCCTCCCGGTCGGGATGCATTAGCCGGGTCACTTTATGCGGCTTTAATTGGGTTTTTATCCGCCGAAAGGAACGCCGGGGTTCACGGTGGGTGCGCACTTTGCAGCTTGATTATTTGCTCGATCGTTTGTGGGATTGGAATTACGGGGGCTCCGCCGGCCGGATATGTAATTCCGGTGCAATGTGCACGGTGCATCGTGATTGCTGTGTTCCGAGAGCAGGGTGGATCCACTGGCTCGTGACGTTCCCGGCGGTACGGCCAGCATCCAATACTTGTCGAATCACTTACTTTTGTCCTATGCACCATATAATCGACAATGACTACACCTGGGATAAACGTACACCTCCACTGTTATTAATTATTTCACTGGATTTTCTTAAACCTCGAGGAAGATCTAATTATCAGAGGATCTTCCCATACTTTGTTTATGATTTTACGGAGGGGAGGCTTTTCCAGGAAGTTTCTGAATTTTTATGGAAACTCAACGCTTCGCGGGGCGGTGCAACTGTGGGGGTGCAGAGTTCTGGGATCACTTTATACCCCCGGTAAAAAATGCAAATTCTTGTACACTCGGAAGGCTAGCAAGTGCATCGGGGTGCATTCTCCTGGACGGTATCGACGAGCTCTCCCGACGTATTCCCGGAGGTTTTCCCGTTGCTTCTGTATTTTCCAGTGGCGTAAATCACGCTCGGGGAATATTTCAGTCGCGCCGTCGGCGTTTCCACTAATGTTTTCCGAAGCGCCGTCAAAATGACATTCTCTCGTCGGTCAGGTGTGCTTTTAATTAATTTACAATGAACTCGTGGTGGAGGTGCGTTTTTGACGTAAATCCGAAGTTACGCTGCGCGGAAGGTTTCCTCCGCTTCCCGATGGCAGGAATCAGCAATTCGAAATGTTTCTCCGCGAAGCGGCGCCGGGAAATACGAAAAATTTGAAGGAACAAGGGAAATAATAGGAAATTGGGAAACATGCCGAAGACGTTCCGCAACGCGGATTTCCTCCGCGCCCAAAGTGAGCCTGCAATGCCCTGTGCTCGGTAATACTCGCGGAACGATATCCTGGAACCTTCATTATTCGGAATCTGCCATCAAGATGCGGCCGATATCCTTCGGGCAGCGGCGGCGCCTCCACCCTTTCGTTTCCACCCCTGGAACGACGGCCATTCCGCGTCCTCTCCGCGCGGATCTCCTCAAAACGGGGAGGAGGGTTAATCCGGTCCCGATCTGAGAACACGTAAACCTAATCTCGCCTCTTTTTCCCGCCGTTTCCATCCTGGAGCACCTCTCTCTTCTGCGCACCCCCCTGGTGCACTTGGAACGCAGGCAAAGGACCTCGAATTTCGCAGCCAGGGGGTTGCACGCGGATTCCGGGCAAATGGAACAATGTTAACGGGTCCTGGATCCTTTTTACCCCTTTCTTACCCGGCCTGATAACCCATCTTCCGATCCTGCGAGATTGTTGGGAGGGGTCGCAACCCCTGCGTCCTTATCACCGAGTAGAAGGCTCGCGTCCTCGCGCGAGTCCTTCGACAGCTTTCAGGGGAGGGTTTTATCCCATGTCTTGATCTCCTGGAACGTGATCCTGACTCTTTCTCCTCTTCCTCCCTTCTCTTTCTGAACCCTTTCCCACCCCCTTTCGACCCTCGTCCTTACCTCGTCCACACTTTGAATACGCCGAGGGAGGACGTCGGCCGAACGTGACTCGACCCCTTTACTGCCATTTTTCCTGACGGTAGTTTCGCCAAGTCGGACCTCTTCAGGGGTGAGAAGACACCTCTTTCGTCGAGAAAGAGGACACCTATCCTTACCCTCCGACCTTTTCCTCCACCTTCGACTTCGGCGCGACCCATTCCCCGACGAGGACCATCGCGGAATCCAAACGAACCCTCGGAGACAGCCGAGAATTTGCAATTTAAGAAAAATCCCCCGACTGCTCTTCTCCCCTAAAAATGGAATTATAACCTCGAAAGAAGGTCCATTCCAAGAAGCCCAGAAAATCCCACTTCGATCTAGAAAAATCATCTCTGATATCCGATTTTTATCTCTCCTTTCTAGCACCCTTATCACCTCTCATTCTCGCCCCTATTTCCAGGGACTCTATCCTCGGTTGAATTTTAAAAATTTGATTTCAGGAGTCAATTTTCTAAATTAATCTCATTTATCTACTGCATTTGACCCATGGTTTCTATCATCCCCTGGATGCATTCCACGTCACCCCTCGCTATGGGGAATCGCTTCTTGTAATTTTCACTCCCTTCCTTGTCGACGCCTTCCAGGGTGCCCCAGAGGGGTTAAGTCGGCCTTAGGCTCCTCATTTAAATGCAGGATGCACCGGCGAGGGCACGAGTGACGTCCCGAAGGCCATGGCCCTGGATGCGACGCCGACGCCACCCCAGGACCCCCCGAAGAGGGATCCACCCCATGCCCCACCCCATGCTCTCGCGGCGGGACAATTGCCGACCGCGTGGACGTGTTTCATTAACGTGGACACGCCACGTGGCTTTGTGGGGGGTATATTTGTGCGAGATACTCGACCCGCCCTCGACGTCTTCTCGTAATCCGCGTTATCCCCCGCGCGTTATTCCACCGCGGAATTCCGGGGTGGTCCGTTCGTTTGCCCAGGTCTCGTTTCGCCGCTTAACCCCCGTCAAATTAATTCACCATTTGCCCCACTCCCGAATTTTGACTATAATCTCTTTTCCTCTCTCGACATTTCCGGTGTCTCGGGTAAATCTGAAATCTCTTCTCGTCCAATGTATCCTGAAATTAATCTAAGATTAATCTGCCAATAATCCGGGATTTTTGAAAGGAATGGAAAAATTCAGAACTGTCAGGGGATGCCATGGATAATTGTAGGTAATATCGAAATTATATGTGGTTATTATATATAGTTGTACGTAACGCGTTAACTCGCACGTGTTAAAGGATACGTCGCGCAAGGATGGTCGGCGGTTCTGATGCGTGCACATGCGTGGCCTCAAAGCGAATAGAGGGTGAAAAGGGGCTGGAGGGAGAGGGCGATATACGAAGGGCATGGGAGAGATGGAGAAGGGTGGAGAGTGGGAAAGAGAGGAGGCCGAACGCACCGGCGAGGCGTGAAGAGCCCGCGAAAGGGGTGCGAAAGGGGTGCGAAAGTGCAGATGAGCTAATGGCGCGCAAAGTCTGCTCGTTAACGTAGGTGGGTTTACGCCGACGACCCCCTCGACACCCCCCATGAGCCGGGTGGTGA